TTTCTGGGCAGCCATCTTACTGTGCAAGCAAGAAAGAGTTTCACTTTGCAGAAATGGGTGAGTGACCCCTGCCTTTCACCCAGGTTGTTTTCATGCAGCATTTTCCTTTTGATTCTTTTCTGCTGACAGCAAAATAAGACAGCAAAGGAAGGTGGCATGGCGTGTCAGATCACACCATGCTCTGCCTTTGTGGTTCAGGATGTGTTTTGCAAGGAAATTCTTAAATTATCTTAATGGTTTGAATGCCCTTAGGCAATGAAGATTCTTCATCAAATGTTTTGGGAGAATTGGAACTGAAAGCCAACTTGAAAACTGAGGTATGGCTGACAATTCAGGTTTGCTGAGCCGTTTCGTGATCAAGATGCGCACACGCACGCGCACACACACACACACACACACACACACACACACACGGAACTTCCTATTCTCATCGTGCCTAAAACACTTAGTATTGCTCTTGCATATCCTCGGGGAGGGGAGTGAGCTAAGAAGCTCGGTAATCTTAGTACACAGTGGCCTCAATTCTAATGGATTAAGCCAAAAATCTAGGAGTTGCCCTCAGCTTCTCCCTGGCAAACCATATTTACACCACCACTAATTCTGACAGCTTCCATTTCCAGGATATAACATGACCGACGTACTTCTCTCTGTTTAGCTGTCACCCTATGTCACCCTGTTAGCCGCCATGTCAGTAGCAGCTCTTTAGACTTCTGCTTCCACTCCAGCCCATTGTCTACTCTCTGATTCATACAGCCACGTGGGTCATCTTTAAAAACAGTCAGGTGGGGCCAGGAGGTGGCATGGTGTTTAAGGTGCTGGACTCACACATGGCTGACAAGTTCGAGCCCTACACCTGGTAGCTTGAAAACCATGCCAGGTGCATGTGTTTACATGCCCAAAATCCTGAGAGGAAAAGGAACTGCAGCGTGGCTATCCCCCAGGGGGAGGGAGGGAGTAATTTCTCACTTTTCTTCCCTTTGTCTCTCCCCAGCTAGTGTACACACCCTATGGCAAAAACCTAAAACAAAATTAGGTTCTCATAAAATTTCCAGTGGCTGCCTTCACACTTAAAATCTACTCTTTTTTCATTTGATTTTTGTTTGTTTGTTTGTTTTAAAATCATGGCCTGTATGCCTTATAGCACTTAATCTCCATGCCCAGTTTCCAGCCAGGTCTTAGGGCATCTTTTGAATATACTTGATAGGATAGTCATTTAGGGAAGAGACGGACAGTGCGTAGGGAGCACACCTGGCCCAACAGGAGTGATGAACTGGCAGACAGGAAGGCTTACAAAGAAAACATCTGAGTGGAATTTTAAGAGTGGAAATTTACCAGAAGAGAGAGAAAAGAAAGATATCCCAGGCAAAGGAGACAATGTGTTCTAGTCCCAGAGACTGGCGGGTCCACAGTGTGTCCCAGATCCTGCACCTGTGCCAGCTGCACTGCACTGAGACATAAGTCTGGCAACAGAATGGGATCCAGTCAGGAAAGACCTTGTCTGTCGGACTAACCGCGAGTTTTACTGTTAAAGGAATAGAAGAGCTATTGATGGATTTGTTTTAAAACCCTCAGTTAACTTATGTTCATGGTGTTCTGAATTTTTTTTTAGACATTTGTGCCTTTAGAAGAAGAGAAACGGCATGAAATTCTACCACCACCAGAATGTTCGTGTGGGAAAAAAACAAGTACGCTAGGTAAGCCCTGCCTCAGTTTCTGTGTGCGACGTTTTTGTTGGCAGGGAAGGCCTTGGAGGGCAACCAGAGTATCAGAGAGGAGTAGGGAGCAACTCTCAAATTTTCGGTCTTTGGATCACTTTATGCTCTGAAAAACTGCTGAAGACCACAGAGAGCTTTTCGTTATGTAGATTTACCTGTTGGCATTCACCAAATACGAAATTAAAACTGGGAAAGTTACAAAATAAATACTAATTCACTATAATTAACTCACTATAAGTTTATTACAACATTTTTATTAAAAAATAAAAAGCTAGTTTCAGGCCAGCAATTGTCATGGTGGTAGACTCCCACCTGGCCGACTGCAGTTCAAGTCTCAGATTTGGCAGCTTGAAAATCATGCTGTGGGGGTTAAGGTGCTGGACTCCCACATGGCCAACCAAGGTTTGAGTCCTGGACTTGGTGGCTTGTTTTCTCTCTCTTCCTCTCTCTCTCTCTCTCTCATCAATTAAAAAAGTAATAATGATTAATAAAATTAAATAATTTTTTAAAGAAAGAAATCATACTGGTTACATGCTCATAGTACAGCTAATTAACATCTCATTTGTTAATTGTCAAGAAGGTAACATTTTTGTATTCCAAAATTCCTTATCCTCAGTTATATTTCTGACTGCTTTACTGCGTTAAGGTACAGTTTGGTAAGAGTTCTAATCACGTAAAAGGAAGTTATTTAAGAGAAAAATGTGTGTTCTGTCATTCTTGAGTAGAAACAGTAGGCCTTGCACTTTAAGTTTTCAAAGAATATAAACAGATCGCTGCTTGAGGGGATACGGTCTGACTTCTCACTTGAGGGCATGATTTTAAATGAACCAGAGCTATACTGTAGCTTAACAGCTGTATTAACGTCTCCCACCTTTTTCCTAAGGCTCAGATGACCAACAGAGGTAAAGCACTTTAGTGATTTCATAAATCACTGCCATTATTATAAAAATACAAGTAACGTTAATGTTGTGTTTTGAAAGAATTGGTCAGAATTTTGTAGTTCACAAAGACACCTAAGCAGTTATGTGGCCTCATATTCCTATGTTGATAAAGCTTTTCAAGAAGTTTTCCAGAGAGTGCGTGTACTTGCTGGGGAGAGAGGCGGAGAAAGCAAGCAGCCCCATGAGGCATGGCCATGCAGCAGTTTCTCCCGTCTGTGTCTCGGGCAGGCACACATAGGTGCCGCATGTCTTTCAAGCTGTCTGGTACTGCACTCAGAATCGTGCAGTGCCCATGCGGAATCCGGCTGCTTTACCCACCAGACCGTGGGCTAGCCCTCAGGAAACTGAACTTGTTTCTCTGCGGTTCAAAGGCAGTATTCAGTTTGCTTATGTCTCTTTTCTGTTTTTAAACAGCTGAACTACAGAGGGAGCCTTCTTTGGTGAGTAAATCACTGAATGTAAGTCACTGATAGTTCCGATTTCATCGTTGTTGGGTGATGCATCTTGGTTTCTGAGAAGCCTGGGGAGTGGACGTTTAGTGGAGACGTTACTTGCATTTCTTCAGAGACGGGCGACGCAGGGCCCTTGACGCCGAGGTCCCATACACCAGCTCTCCTTGCTCCTTTCCACTCCTCTGGCCACTAACGTGAACTCAGAACTTCCTGTTCTTGTTCCTATTATGGGATTTAAACATAGATTGTGATGTATTAAATCATCCTGCTGTTGCAGACACAGTAGATCTAGTGTGAACATTAAAGTTCACCTTTAGGTTTTTAGAAAACTTTTCTGGAGACATTCAGCTATAATTGCCATATATATACATCTTTTTTTCCAGATATGGCTCTCATAGTCTCTTTCATGTTTGAAGAGATTTTTGTTTTTTCTTTCTTTTTTTTTGTTTTAATTTTAATTTATGTACAGGGTACCTAATTTGTACCAGGAGTAAACATTTTGTAAAATGCTTACAAATCACAAATGATGCCATTCTTTACGGTGCCCCTAGAGGAATTGGGGGAGCTCTGCTTACAGTGGAATCAGGGTACTTACCACACTCCTGTTTAACACACCCGTCTTATAGCGAGGAACTCAGACTGGGTGTGATGAATGAGAAAGAAGAGAAGCACCAGTAGTTACCCAGTTTCGGGCCAACCACATAACTAGTGATTGAGGGAGCCAAATCCTACATGACCATCTGAGGTCGGAATCCCAGCCCCAGCTGAAGAGCACTGTGGGCGTGTCTAAAATTTCAACAGGATGGAGAAGTGGAGGAGGAAGGATTGCCTCGTGGTCATGCCCCACTGGGGATTGCTTTCTTCCTCCTTCTCTTTGTCTCTCTCTGGGGAATACTGATGCCACCCGGCAATTAAAAAGAAAAAAAGAGTTACAAGCCCACAGGTGGTATGAAAGTTAAGGTGGCTGTACCCCACATGGTCACTTCCGTGGTTTGAGTCCTGGACCTGACAGCTTAAAAATCATGCTGGGTGCACATGTGCATGCATATCCAAAATCCCTACGAGGAAAATGGAGGAAAAGAGATTATGGCATGGCCATCCCTCCTGGGAGCTGATTTCTCACTTTCCCTCTCTCTCTTTCTCTTTGTCTATATCTGGTATGAACACATGCCCTACAGCAAAAACTTTAAAAAAAATTTAGATAGACAGATGCCAAATGGAAATTCTTAGGACAAAATCCTTTTGGGTTTTAAAGAAAAAATAAATTCATGCAAGCTCCCTGGAAGGGAAGGCAGTTCATGGAATTCAGAAAACTTTTCTCTTGTGCCTTACTCTTTCGCCATGACCTTTATAAAGGCAAGGGAAATAAACACAGTAGGAACGTAATTTGTTAAACTATAACTTTTTCCAACAGAAAAATGTTCTATGCTCTTTCTGGGTGAAATTTAAAAGAACTTGTACTCTAGGGGTCTAGGTGGTGGCTCCCGGGTAAAATTGTGACACTGCTAGACTGAACCACAAGGGAAGGTTCTGGGCTCACATCCAGAGACCACCATAAAATCTCCATACACAGAGGCCCCTGATCTTGGGCTGACTGGGGCTGGGGTTAAATTGTGGTGTTAAGACCGTGTTAGGGCTGGGACCAGCAGATGGCATAATGGTTCTGTCGCTGGATTCCCATGTAGCTGACTGTGGTTCAAGTCCCAGACGCGGCAGCTTGAAACTCAAGCTGGGCATGTGTGCGTGCGTGCCCAAGATCCCGAGAGGAGAATGGAGGAGGAGCTGTGGCATGGCCATCCCCCCCAGGGGGTGATTTCTCACTTTCCGTCTGTGTCTGTCTGTCCGGTGAGCACCCTGTAGTAAAAACCTCTCTCCAAAAAGAAAACAAAGAAGACCCTGCTGAGGGTGCTATCTTTGTCTCTTGTCCATGGAAGTGATAAGTAATGAACTTCATTTACAAAAGAAGGGAGGCCAGTCAGTGGCATGGTGGCTAAGGACCTAGACTCCCATATGGCCCACCATGGTTCAAGTCCTGGGCCTGGTAAAATCACTCCAGGTGGTGTATGTGTGACCAAAATCCCAGGAGTAAAAGGAGTGTGGTGTGGCCATCCCCCAGAGGTAGTTTCTCACTTTACCTCTCTCTGCATCTCTCATGAACGTATGTGCCCTGTGGCGAAAGTCTAAACAGAAAGAAAGTGGACTTCATTCCTTTTGACATCTGCACAAATAGACAAGTCATGTAAGTTACCTTTTTCTGCCTTTAAGCATTTCATGAGACTGTCTGTAAGTAATCTCTTATATTATATATTTAGGTTGAAAACTCAGGCTCCAGAACCAATGAAGAAATTCATAACAAATCTTATAACAAAGGAGGTAAGTTAATGAATTTCACAGTAGTTATTTTAATATTAATCATAATGACCATTTGTTGAGTGTCTGCTCAGTGCCAGCCCAGATGCTCCTTACTTCACGGACTTTGTTACCTTATTCACAGTGAAGTGCGTGTTAACAGCACATCTCCTGTTACGGAGGCACGGAGGCTCTGAGTGGTCTAGTGAATTGTTCAAGGTCAGACAGCTTTGAGCAGTGCCTTGCCCTAAGTAGCTAGCAGAACTTTGACAGTAACCTCACAGTGGACTCAGTCTACTATGTGACACAAAATACAGCGTCGCCATGGTTTGTGTTAGGAAGTCTAGAAGTTGAGCTAAGTGTTCAACTGTACTTGCTAACTCTGACAAGCATTTCCAACAGGACAGCACATCAGGATGTCACATTTATGTGACCCTTCTTCCAGGGGTCAGGTCTCCTTCCATACAAGTTATCTGGGCTGCCAACTCCACATAGAATGAATTTTGTTGATTCCCTATTCCAAATGCAGAAAAGGCTGAATTCCCCTATACAGTTAATTTTATAATATATTATATCACATACTAAAAACAATGCACAGTAATTGTAAACACTCATGTACTTACCCATCACTTCGTTTTGTCATATGTTAAAATTTAGTATATTCGCTTTCTGTGGGGTTTTTGTTGTTGTTGTTGTTTGTTTTTTTAATTTGCTGTGGGACACATGAGCTCACCAGAGAGGGAAAATAAGAAAGCATCCCTCATGTGGGCCAGCTCTGCCACAATCCCTCGTCCTCCATTCTGCTCTTGTATTTTGGGCACACATAGACACCTGGTGTATTTTCAAGCTATCAGTTCTGGTACTGAACCACACAGTTATCCCTGTGGGATCCAGCCTCACCAAGGACCATGCCACCTGCTGACCTGCTGTCTTTGCTTGACTCAGAGAGAGGGAGGGAGGAAGCACCCCTTGATGGTGTGCTGCAGTCCCTTCCTCTCTTCTGTTCCCCCCCCCCCCGAATCTGGGGCAGGCACACACACGCACCTAGACTGGTTTTCAAGTTGTTGGAGTCAGAATGCTAACTGCCATTGTCCATGTGACATCCACTCCCTTAACCACTAAGTTACAGGGCTGGGCTACTTTTCATGCATTTTGAAAAAGTCTCAAGTATAGTTGAAACTCCTTTATGCTCATTTCCAGTTCAGTCTAAAAAAAACTCACTCCTAAGGAAACTACTACTCTGAGTTTGGTATCTGTTGTTTCTTATGTATTATGTGTGTCCATGTACATGGCATGTGTTGTCTGCTTTACATAAATGGTATCAGACAGATATAAACCATCTCAACCTTACTTCACATTCAACAATATGTTTTCACATTTTGTCTGGTTGATCTGTATAATTCTGATTATCTCCATTGCTTTTTATTGGGCCATCGGGGAAGTCATGATGATTTTTTCTGTGCAAAAATGCACCCTTCCCAACAAGCCAATAGTATGTCACTGTGTGAATCACCGTTTCTTGCTTCTTCCATCGGTGCACATTTAGGTTTCCTTGCACCTTTTCTAGTCGTGAGGAGTGCTGTTATGTGTGTGCTTTGACCTGTTTTCTGGTACATGTGTGTACTCGAATCTCTGAGTGTGGAGCTGCTCAGTTATAATCAGCTCTTGAACGTTACTGAATGTGCCAGGTTGTCCCCAGGAGGTATACCAGTTGTCCTTCCGTGCTTTCTCCTGCATTTCGTATGTCAGATTGGTGGAAATTTGTTCATCTGTCATGTCGTAGTTTATTTTTCTTAGACACTTTAACTGAGGGGAAAGGCCTTGAAGTCCGCTGTGTAAAAAGCCCCATGTTGTGACCCCAGATGTGTTATTTCTCTCCTGTATCATGTCTTAAACTGGAAGACAATGGCACTTAACCTGGTAACACCGTCTATTGCAGTACCTCATATGCAGTAAAATTCCTAATTGAGTTTTATTCCTTTCTCAAACCTAGCATAAGTAATGAAAAAATATTTAAGTTTATTTTCTTTTTTGTATTTACTACTCAGATATATCCAATGGTGAAAAAGACAGCATAAGCAGTATAAGACATCACAGTGTTGAAGCCAGCCCCGAAGAGGTGTGTGTCCATAATAAACTCAAGAATTTCATATGTCATGGATAGTATTTTCACCTGTGCACATAAAGTCTTTTTTTTTTTTCTTTTTTTGGAGAGATTTTCACTATAGGGCACGTGTGCTCGCCAGACAGACAGAGACATAGAGACAGAAAGCGAGAAATCACCCCCCAGGGGGGATGGTCACGCCGCAATCCCATCTGCTCCATTCTCCTCTCGGGATCTTGGGCATGCACGCACACGCGCCCGGCGTGAGTTTTAAGCCACCGGGTCCAGGACGTGAACCGCGGTCGACTACATGGGAGTCCAGCGACAACCATTATGCTAACTGCTGGTTCCCATGCACATAAAATCTTAAGAAAAGTTTCACTTCTTTGTATAAATTAAATATTAAATGGGTGTATTAAGTGTTCTATATAGCACTTTTACCTGTTTATGTTCTTGTAGTGTTTAGGTAATTTGGAAGGGCCCAGGATTATTTGGAAAAATCCATGTTATATAGCCAAAATGTTTTTTAATGTATTACCTTTCATCAACTATAAGAAGATCATTTTTGTTTAAGAATTATTTATTTATTATTATTTATTTATTTATTTTAATCTGACCAGAGAATGAATGAGAGACAGAAAGTAAGAAAGCAAGCCACCAAGTCTGGAACTTAAACTGCGGTCAGTCATGTGGGAGTCCTGCACCTTAACCACCACACATCCTGCCAACCCCAAAAAGACCTTTTTTGGGGGAGAGGTTTCTTTTGCTATAGGGCACACGCACTCGCCAGAGTCAGACAGAGAGATAGAAAGCGAGAAATCACCTCCCAGGGGGGATGGCCATACTGCAATCCCTTTTCTTCCATTCTCCTCTCGGGATCTTAGGCACGCATGCACACGCGCCCGGCGTGAGTTTAAGCCACCGGGTCCAGGTTTGACTACATGGGAGTCTAGCAACATAGCCATTACACTAACTGCTGGTCTCCAAAAAGAGCATTTTTAATGAGCCGTTAGAAGAGTAGAAGGAGCCAGCAGGTGGCATGATGGATATGTTGCTGGACTCCCACAGAGTGAACCACTGTTCAAGTCTTGCACCCAGCAGACACACTGGGTGTGTGTGCATGCGTGCCCAAAATCCCAAGAGGAGAGTGGAGGAGAAGGAATTCCAGTGTGGCCATCCTCCCAGGGGAGGATTTCTCGCTGTCTGTCTCTCTCTTTCTCTGGTGAGTGCATGTGCCCTATAGCAAAAATCTCTCTTAAGAAAAAAGAAAAGAGTAGAAGAGTAGGCAAGTACATCGTCAATTATAGCACATAGTGTGACTTCACAGATGGTAAAATGAAATACTTTGTTTAAAACATTTTTTAAAGGTCGAAATATAGTACATAGCTTTGCATACTTTGAAGTTCTAACTAAAGTTTTGAATGTTTTGTATGGATTTATGTTCAAATCTAAAAACTCAAATTTATGAAATTAGTATAATTTGTATTTTAATGTCAAAATTGTTATAGAATTTTTAAATTTTATGTCAATTTATTTCAAAGTCTAGACGTAGACATAAAGTATTCTCAAGATAATTTATTTGTTCCAAGTTCTTTGCTTTTAATATGGTCATTCTTAATTCCAGGGTGAAGAGGAAGAAAGGCCTGTATCTAAAAGAAAAAGAAAGAAGCATTGCCCCTCTTCAGAAGATGAACTGGGTATTTAGAATACAAATGTTTCTGTTTTAGAGATCTTTGAATATCATATTATTTTCACATCCAAAAGAATGGGCTAGTAACATAGAAAATTCTCTAGGGTAGTAACGATTTACTACATAATCTTTGAAGCTGATTTGTTTCCAGACTAGTCTGATACCTGCTAGTCTTTTCTGGACTTGGTCTGGAAACTAGATGGTGTCCTGCAGAAGATCCACATAAGCCCAGCCAGTTACCCCTGAGTCCTGCAGTTTATTTCCTGAGCAGATCCTCCAGAGCCAGCAAAGCACTGCAGTCGAGATGGACAGCGTACTTCTGCAAAGTGCCAGCCAGTAAAGCTGCCTGCAGGAGTGAAAAGGTCCCACACTGATTTTTGCCTAGCAGCTTCTAGTACATGTGGCTGTTGAGGATTCGAATGTGGTCAGTGTGACTGATAGACTGAATGTTAGTTGTATTAATTATAATTATTTTGAATTGTAATTGACCAGGGGGTTATTGATTACCGTATTAACAGTAAGCACTTGCTGCATGCATGCCTGAGAAAGGATGGAGAGTGAAATACTTTCCTTTTCTGGTTTCGTTGGTGTGATTACTATATAAGAATCTATTGAGTTCATACTTTTTGCCGTGATTCAGTGTTCAGATCACATCAAAAAACTTTTGGTTTTTCCGTATCACAAGCCTAAGGAAAAAAGTCTCAGATTGTTTTAAAATAGAACTATGCATTTTATTCTTTTTTAGTTTTTATTCCTTTGCGATTCTGTCCAAACTTATTTACAGATGACAATCCAGATGTCCCGGATTCCAGAATAGAAACTTCACAGAGACAGCATTCTAAAACTGAGCTGCAAGACACAAAGGTATTTTTTCCCACACATTAATTTTGCATTTTAGAAATAACCTAATTATATGACTATGATACTTAGTAGTATTAATATCTTTTTCCATTCTGACATCCCTTTTTACATATCTATAATAATAATGACTTCATTATAAAAGGTGTCCCTGTAGAAAACAATTGTTACACTTTATAACTCTTTTTTTTTTTTTTTTTTTAAAAAAAAATTGTTTCCCTTTATAACCTTTTTTTTTTTTTTTTTTTTTTTTGAGAGGTTTTCACTATAGGGCACATGTGGTTGCCAGACAGAGAGAGACAGACATAGAGACAGAAAGCGAGAAATCACCCCCCAGGGGGGATGGTCACGCCGCAATCCCATCTGCTCCATTCTCCTCTCGGGATCTTGGGCATGCACGCACACGTGCCCGTCGTGAGTTTTAAGCCACCGGGTCCAGGACGCGAACCGCGTTCGACTACATAGGAGTTCAGCAACACAGCCATTACGCTAACTGCTGGTTCCCACACTTTATAACTCTTAAAGATTGTATTAATATCACAGTTTAAAGACACTCATTGCTTAGGGCTTTTTTGTTACTAGTAGTATTGACTTTTTTTTTTTTTACCCAAGAGAATTTTTGGTATAGGATATGTGTGCTTACCAGAGAGACAGAGACAGACAGACTGAAAGCAAGAAATCACCTCCCAGGGTGGATGGCCACGTCCGGATCCCTTCTCTTCCATTCTCTTCTTGGGATTTTGGGTATGCATGCACATGTGCCCAGCATGAGTCTCAAGCCTCCGGGTCTGGGACTTGAGCCACAATCAGCCCTGTGGCAGTCCAACATCTTAACCACTATGACACCTGCTGTCCCCCATATTGGCTTCTTAAGGCTTCTATAGATGCTTTCTTCCAAAGTATAATATACTTTACCACAGATACATTTATAATAAAGGGCTTCAATACTCTCCCTTATCCCTAGCATACCCTACCTCTAAAATTCAGGTAGTGTAAGGCTTGGTCTTGCTTTGTGCCTTATTTTTACCTCTGACTCAGGGAAGTGGCTCACAGATTCTTATTCCTGCCCTGCCCTCTTTTGGTCTAGGTCCATATATCCCCAATTCCTAAAGACACCTTTTCTTGGAAGTTCTTCCATTGGCTCTTTACCTCACCAAAGTAATTCCTTCTCCTATTTCTTTATTTTTTCACCCTATTCTAAAAGTATTTAAGTTGTGTTATAAAAACACATTAGTTGGGACCAGCAGTTAGCGTAATGGCTATGTCGCTGGACTCCCACGTAGTCGACCGCGGTTCATGTCCCGGACCCGGTGGCTTAGAAACTCACGCAGGCATGTGTGCGTGCGTGACCAAGATCCCGAGAGGAGAATGGAGGAGAAGGGATTGCAGCGTGGCCATCCCCCCTGAAGGGTAATTTCTCGCTTTCTAGCTTTCTTTCTTTCTATCTCTCTGTCTCTGTCTGTCTGGCGAGTGCACGCACCCTATAGCAAAAACTTCTTAAAAAAAAAAAGTATTAGCTCACTAAAACCAATTCAGAATCTCTTTTCCCCGTAACTCATGAACTCAGTAAGAAGTAGGGTACAATTTAACAGCCTAAGAAGGAAAGTGCTGCATCATTATGAATTCCAATTAACTGGCGCCAAGAAAAGAACTGGGCCTACTCTCACTCCATCCTGTCCAGAGCAAGGATCTTGAGACAGTCTTTCTAAATTTGAAGAGAAGGACATTGAAGGGGTATTTTTTTGTTTTCCCTTCGATTTCAGGTAAGTTTTTTTTTTTTTTTTGAGAGGTTTTTGCTATAGGGCGCGTGCACTCACCAGACAGACACAGAGAGACAGAAGGCGAGAAATCACCCCCCAGGGGGATGGCGCAATCCCTTCTCCTCCATTCTCCTCTCGGGGTCCTGGGCACGCACGCACACGTACCCGGCATTAGTTTTAAGCCACCGGGTCCAGGCCGCGAACCGCAGTTGACTACGTGGGAGTCCAGCGACATAGCCATTATGCTAACTGCTGGTCCCCAGGTAAGTTTTTTTAATGCTAAATTTAAATATAATTTAACTTCACTTGATCTTAGTCAAAAGGCAGAGAAACAATAAATATAATCTAACTTAATTATTTAAAAGTTGAATATAGAAACCATATTTTCAGCATTATGAAACAATGTTTTCTTGATGGTAAACTGCCTACAATAGCATTTATTTAATATCACATTTAATGATAAAGGTAATTTCTGGACAGTAGTTTGGGAGTGATTTTATCATTCCTACTACAAGTTTTCTTCATAGTAAGTATGTTTCACTTTATGAAGGCAATAAAGCCATTATTCTGAGTATGAGACTAAAAGATGACCAGAATCAAATAATTGAAAAACTCGAGGCACTGGAAAATTATTAAGTCATTGGGAAAGGCATGGTATATTTTTCTATGCAGAAAAGTCATGACTTGTTTGAGACCGAGTAAAAGGAATAAAAAGTGGGTCGCAAGTGTGTGGTCAGGATCTGATGAAACGGTGAAGAGCTTGCATGATGGCTGTGAAAGAATCAGGTCATAAAGCAAAATGCACTCCTTCTGGTGACTGGAGGGACTGGGGGCAGGGCGTTGTCAGTCCCCCCGTGAGACAGGTGAAGGTGAAGGTGTGCTGGCTGACATGAGGGGGGCTCCCACACCCCAAGAAAATGCTTGTTCTCGTCCTCCCCCATCACACACACACACCCTCACGCATTCCCACTCAGCTCTTCACAAGGCTCCAGACCGGAAAACCCCAGCATGCCGTGAGTTGCAGTGTTTGACGCTACAGCAGGTGGATTGTGGAGAAGGCTCCCAGCTTTCCCACAGGCTTGCCCCTCGTCCTCTGAACTAGTGCCCGCCCAAGTTGGGTACTGAGGTGTGAGAAGGAGCAGCGGGGTCACTATTTATCTGCCCTCTAGCTAAACACTTAAAAAGTAAGGCCTGCGGGATGAGCAGATGGCTTAATAGTTATGTCGCTGGACACGCCAACTGCAGTTCAAGTCCCAGACCTGGTGACTTGAAACTCACGCTGGGCGCATGTGTGAACACACCCAAAATCCCGAGAGGAGAATGGAGAAGGGATTGCAGCGTGGCCATCCCCCCTGAGGGGTGATTTCTCACTTTCTGTCTGTCTCTCTTGTGTCTCTTGTGAGAGCACATGTGCAGTAGCACAAATCTCTCTTAAAAAATAATTAAGGCCTATGGGACCAGCAGTTAGCGTAATGGCTATGTCGCTGGACTCCCATGTAGTTGACCACAGTTCAAGTCCTGGACCCGGTGGCTTAAAACTCAGGCCAGGCGTGTGTGCACGCGTGCCCAAAATCCCAAGAGAAGAACGGAGGAGAAGGGATTGCGGCGTGGCCATCCTCCCTGGGGGGTGATATTTCACTTTCTGTCTCTCTGTCTCTGTCTGTCTGGCAAGCACATGTGCCCTATGGCGAAAACCTCTCCAAAAAAAAAAAAAAAACAGAAAGAGAAAAAAAATAATAATTAAGGCCTGCTACTATTTAATACGTAGATTGACCCTGGTGCCCTCACCACAAATGAGCTTACCTCTGATTCGAGGTGTCGGTCATGTTGTAATCGCAGGTCTCCAGGTCATACAGGACTTCACGATGCCTTAAAGAAAGCTGGCGTCCCACAGTACGAAGAACTTGAGAATGACCCCCTGCTTAGCATTGTACGATTTCGTGGCTTACAGATCATCAAATGACCTCGTTTTCATTACACTGGCCCTTTTTAGCAGAGGTGACAAGTGTAGATACTGGAGACTGTATAGGAGGGGTGCATAGTGGGAAGCAGGAGAGAGCAAAGAATGAAGTAGAAAGTATCTACCCTTGTTGAAATGCAGCCGTTGTTTTATAAGTCAGGCTTTGCACCTGTTCTTCCATCCGCTTCTGATAGTAGTGTTTCACATATTCTTTGTGTTTCTACCTCTGTAGTATGTTTTTCTCACAGATGGAGAATCATGGTTGAGGTATGGATCATAGTAGTCACAATAAAACTTAGGCATGTTGCTCTGCAGGCCCTTGGCAATTCTGTTCCTTTTTAATTTTTTTTTCTATTTTTCTTTATTTTATGTTACTCGAGTTATTTGTTATAATTTTTTTTTTTTTGAGAGATTTTCACTGTAGGGCGCATGCGCTTGCCAGCCAGACAGAGAGAGACATAGAGACAGAAAGCGAGAAATCACCCCCCAGGGGGGATGTGATGGCTGTGAAAGAATCAGGTCATAAAGCAAAATGCACTCCTTCTGGTGACTGGAGGGACTGGGGGCAGGGCGTTGTCAGTCCCCCCGTGAGACAGGTGAAGGTGAAGGTGTGCTGGCTGACATGAGGGGGGCTCCCACACCCCAAGAAAATGCTTGTTCTCGTCCTCCCCCATCACACACACACACCCTCACGCATTCCCACTCAGCTCTTCACAAGGCTCCAGACCGGAAAACCCCAGCATGCCGTGAGTTGCAGTGTTTGACGCTACAGCAGGTGGATTGTGGAGAAGGCTCCCAGCTTTCCCACAGGCTTGCCCCTCGTCCTCTGAACTAGTGCCCGCCCAAGTTGGGTACTGAGGTGTGAGAAGGAGCAGCGGGGTCACTATTTATCTGCCCTCTAGCTAAACACTTAAAAAGTAAGGCCTGCGGGATGAGCAGATGGCTTAATAGTTATGTCGCTGGACACGCCAACTGCAGTTCAAGTCCCAGACCTGGTGACTTGAAACTCACGCTGGGCGCATGTGTGAACACACCCAAAATCCCGAGAGGAGAATGGAGAAGGGATTGCAGCGTGGCCATCCCCCCTGAGGGGTGATTTCTCACTTTCTGTCTGTCTCTCTTGTGTCTCTTGTGAGAGCACATGTGCAGTAGCACAAATCTCTCTTAAAAAATAATTAAGGCCTATGGGACCAGCAGTTAGCGTAATGGCTATGTCGCTGGACTCCCATGTAGTTGACCACAGTTCAAGTCCTGGACCCGGTGGCTTAAAACTCAGGCCAGGCGTGTGTGCACGCGTGCCCAAAATCCCAAGAGAAGAACGGAGGAGAAGGGATTGCGGCGTGGCCATCCTCCCTGGGGGGTGATATTTCACTTTCTGTCTCTCTGTCTCTGTCTGTCTGGCAAGCACATGTGCCCTATGGCGAAAACCTCTCCAAAAAAAAAAAAAAAAACAGAAAGAGAAAAAAAATAATAATTAAGGCCTGCTACTATTTAATACGTAGATTGACCCTGGTGCCCTCACCACAAATGAGCTTACCTCTGATTCGAGGTGTCGGTCATGTTGTAATCGCAGGTCTCCAGGTCATACAGGACTTCACGATGCCTTAAAGAAAGCTGGCGTCCCACAGTACGAAGAACTTGAGAATGACCCCCTGCTTAGCATTGTACGATTTCGTGGCTTACAGATCATCAAATGACCTCGTTTTCATTACACTGGCCCTTTTTAGCAGAGGTGACAAGTGTAGATACTGGAGACTGTATAGGAGGGGTGCATAGTGGGAAGCAGGAGAGAGCAGCTCAGGAAAGAAAATTCACAGGCGCAGAAATGGAAAGTTCCCTGTGAGGATGATGTCTATGATTTATCTTTGACTTGATTGACATGCGATGCATGTACGCTTTGAAAAACCATATTGTATGCTATGAAGGTAAATTTAAAAAGAAAAAAGGAAAAGCTCAAAAAAGTATATTGATCCTTTACACACTGGCTTAAGAGTCTTGCAAAAAAGAATGTGTGTGTGTGTGTGTGTGTATACACATATCTTCATCCATATGACAAATGGAATATTTGTGCTCTCTCTATATGTGTGCATATATGTGTATATACAGTTTTATGTGTGGGGTATGTGTGTGTGAGGCAGAGATAATATTTATAAAACTGGCACAATCAAATAAGAGAACCTCAGCTGCTTCTGTTACAAGAAATAACAGTCTTTGTCATCCTCATTACTAAGTAAAAGAGTAAGATCTGTGGACTATGAGATATGGGTATTATGTGGATATATATACTCTTATGTCTGTTCCCCACTTAAATCCCTGAAAGGCCACATCAAAGCCCAATGACACTAAGTGCTCCTGCAAAAGGATGTGGGGGGCAGAAACCCTTTGGAATTTGGAACCAGGAGAATATATTTCTGTTCAACAATAAGTAAGTTTAAAAGTAACAGAAATGAGAATTTACAATTACTTATAATGAGCTAGTAAAGAAATAAGCAGTTTAAGTTACTTTGGTTTTTTATTTCATCTTCCGTTTGTGTGCTTTGGTTACCCACTGTAAACATTTTGGTAGGCCATGCTGCACACTTTTTTGGAGGGTGAATAACTTAACCATTGAGAGAGCACTGGTCTAAATCAGGCCAGCTGGGTACCCGGAAATGCCCTTGGCACTTTCTGACTTATCCCTCCAGCACTCCACCGAGATAACAGTGTGTTCCAATTCCTGTCAGTTCCTCCTTTGCAGTGTCTGGCAAAAAGACGAAAGTCCAGGCTAGGGGAAGAGAAAAGCAATTTCTGTTTTGGAGGGAAAAATAATAGTGGCCTTACCATGTTATGATTGAACATCCTTATCTCATGCTTTTCTGCCTTCTAGATTTTTGTCTTTTTATAGTCTCACTAGCTGCAATAATAGTTACAAAAGAGTACCAAGAAATTGTTTTTGAAATAGAAAGGAGAGTGAGGAGAGTGAATGGAGCAAGGTTACGTCTGAAAACAAAAGTTTCTTGTCTGATTCAACTCTATAGGAAGAGAACTCTGCAGATTTGGAAGAATTATCTAAAACAAGTTCTAAGACAAACAATGCTCTTTCAAGGGCCGTGGAAGAAAAGGGTGAGTAAAACAACCACTTAGATAACAGGTAGAGGAAGCCCTCAAAGCAGTTAGCATAACCCTTACCAGGCTTTGCCAGCCGAAACCTCTTTTGCAGTTACTAGGAGGCTCACGTGCTCACCAAAGGGACATACAGAGAGAACGAGAGGCAGCAGGAAAAGCACGCCCCCATGGGACATGGAGACATGTGTGCCCCTGTCCTGTGTGTTTTCCAAGCTGCTGGGGCTGGAATTCAAACCTCACAGTCGTCAGGCTCCTTTAACCACCACGGTGCCGGCGCTGCCACCTGAAACGTGTTCTGCTTCCTTGCTTTCCCTGCATGACACGTTACCTCATGCTTAATATTGGATCCTACACAGCCCGAAGTATACTGCTTGTCCATTACCAAACCCCAGCTTATTAATCTCCGCGGTAGAGACATGAAAAGACAGTTGCTGTGCCTGCATAGTCAGCTGGCCAAGGTGCCTCAGCTCTGACCCGAGCCCTGCCTTCTCTGCAGACGAGTGTGGCAGTGGCGAAGCTGCTGGAGAAAAGACGGAGCAGAACGAAGAAGACAGCGTGAAGTTTCAGGAGGTGAGGAATGTCTCTCATACTTACTGTTCATAATCGTGTTAGTACTGAAACCAAATTAATGTGTTAAATACTGTTACATGGAGTTTTTCTTAAGGACTATTGAAGGTTTTTCTCTTTTTTTTCCCTTTGTTTCTTCTATGCAGTGGGGCACCATTTCATACGATGTATTTTATCATTGTCATTGTGATTTATTTTCTCTTCCATTTGGCTTCATCAAAACATTTGTATAAGGCCTACTTATGTCATGGCCAGATAGGATCATCCTAGTGTCCTACATCGATGGCAGTGGCAGATGCCCGGCCTGGCAGCTTAGCATTGCCAGGCCAGGCACCAGGACATTGCCACCACAGGAGGTGGCTTGAGCTGTGGACAATAGCCAGGGTGAAATGAGAGCAGCAGCAGGGTGTGCAGCGGCATGCTCCAACAGCTCGAGGGGACCCAGTTTCATAGCAGAGGCCATGGGTCCCTGGGAGGCTGCAGGGACAGATAGATCGGAGCGGCCCAGCCACCCAGGGCCCATGCAGGTGTGCAGGGAGCCCGTGGAGAAAGGCGCTGCAGCTACCCAAAACAGAACTGCACAAAGCGGAGGACATGGCCTGGACGCCAGCCCCATGTCCTAGATGACCACTGCCGAGCGTGCCAGGTGTCTCTGGTTTTACCTTCTCGTCCTTGTACGTGAGGAGCATGGTGCACTCCTTCGCTGTCCTTACAGACAGCATCTTGCTGTGTCGCAGCCCTGCAGCCTCAGCCACCTGAGCAGCCGGGATGACAGACACGCACCGCCATGCCGAGCTTTTCAGAGTGGGCCAGGAGTCGACCTCAGCATCGTGCTACCACAGCTCAGCCATCCTTTATTTTTTTATAAGAGACAATAGTTAGTCACGAGTATTGCATTTTCAGAAAAGTTGTGATGTATTTTCTCTGTTTTTCTATGCAGAAATGCGTCATGACTTTTGCTACAACTCAGTAACGTGGCCTAAATCTCAATTTCTATAGACATACATATTTATTGCAAAAGTAAAAGATAATGATTACCAAGCACTACCTTCTATTACATAATTGCCTCATAATCCTCATGACTGAATTCAAGAGTTATAAAAGACCAGCAGATGGCATGGCGTTTAAGGTGGTTGGATCCCACATGGCTGACTGTACAGTTTGAGTTCTGGACTTAGTGGTTTGAAAATAATGCCAGGCATATGCGCATGCATGCCTAAAATCCCAACAGGAAAACGAAGGGAAAGGATTGCAACGTGGCCATCCCTCCCGGAGGGTGATTTCTCACTTTTCCTCTCAATCTCTGTCTCTCTGGTGAGTGCACATACCCTATAGCAAACTGAAAGAAAAACAAAACAAGAAAAGAGCTATTAATATTTATTTTAAGTGAGAGAATTAATATACTGAGCCCAGAGCCACGTATTTGTTCATTAACAATGCTAAGATTTGTGCCATTGAAGGAGGGCACTCTAATAAAGTCTCAGTTTGAGAAAATGAGAATAAACTATCTCTGTAATAGAGGAGAGAATTATATTTTTATTGTTTTTCTCCCCTTTAGGAAGATCAACCAATAATTGTTAAAAGGAAAAGAGGAAGACCTCGTAAATACCCTGTAGAAACAGCGTTAAAAACGAGTAGGTTTTTGATACGTTTTTAATTCACACATAAGAAATTAAGAAATTTTCATACCGACTTTCTAAGTGAGATTTATTTTGCTTTCTTTTGTTTTGCTTTTTAGAAGAAGATTCCAAAACAGACGCTGGCATTGTCACTGTAAGTAATTGCAGAGATGAAGTATTCAGACAGACATTCGCTCTTGGCCGGGAGAAGGGTATATTGCAACATCTAGGATTTTGAACAACTTTTTTTTTTTTTTGTATTTGAAGAGCTTCAAAGACTATCTTAAATAAGACACTGAGTAACCATTCAAAAACACTTGGATTAGTAATATCTTCATAGACAGTTATTTTAGTTGTTCTTTGGCTTGATTTCATCCTCACAAGTTTGATTATGTAAAAATTATCTAGGAACTTATTTTTATGTAGTCAGCTTTGGTTAAAATAAAATTTAGGCCAACAGATGGCATGGTGGTTAAGGTACTAGACTACCACGTGGCCAACCACAGTTCGAGTCCTGGACCGGGTGGCTTGCTTTCTCGCTTTCCCTTTCTCCCTGTCTCTTCTTCTTGGTCTCTCTCTGGTGAACATACATGCCCTATAGCAAATTTTTAAATAATAATAAAATTAAATAATTTTTTAAATAAAAATTTATTGTTTTATGTGATTGTAAGACAGTGACTTCTTTTTCAAGACATCCAAATTGTCTTGCCATCTTATGTTTTCTATGGAATTGGAATTGTTCTTTTCTATGGAATTGGAATTGTTCATGTACTAAACTGTTCACCCATTCCAGTGCAAGAAAATGGTCGATGTTAACCTTATCTTCTTTTAAGAATTTTTTATTTAATTTTATTTATTCATTCATTTATTTTATTTTGACCAAGAGAGAGAGAGAAAGTGAGAAAGCAAGCCATCAGGTATGGGACTTCAGCCGTGGTCGGCCATGTGGGAGTGTCCATTGCCTTAACCACCGTGCTACCTGCTGGCCCCAATACTTTATCTTCTTAAACTTGCTTTATCTTTTTTTTTTCTTTTTGGAGAGGTTTTTTGCTATAGGGTGCATGTGCTCGCCAGAAAGAGAGAGACAGAGACCGAGAAATCACCCCCCAGGGGAGATGGCCACACCGCAATCCCTTCTCCTTTCTCCTCTCGGGATCTTGGGCACGCACGCACACGCGCCTGGTGTGAGTTTAAGCCACTGAGTCCAGGACTCGAACCGCGGTCAACTACATGGGAGTCCAGCAACATAGCCATTATGCCAACTGCTGGTCCCAAACTTGCTTTATCTTTGACCCTGAAGCGTTTTATTAAGAACACTATATGAGGACAGTGTCTGCTCACTTCACAAAAGCACAGGGTTCAAGCCTCAGCTTTGCCTCTTACTCCTAGAACTGTGCTTCAGGGCCATGCATGTGACCCTCTTGAAATCCCATTTCCTTGGGTATAACACTAATGGTATAGTGACACCTGCGGCACTTAATTCATAGTTACTACAAGACCACGCGGTCCATGCGCCGCTGCGTTCCCCGACGTGAAACTGTGGGGAACATTGACGTCAGTGGCCATCTACACTGCCTGTGGGGCCCGTCCTCCAGCGCTGCAGCAGGGGAGCCAAGGGAGGGCTCATTGGAAAGACCTGTGTTCAGAAGCATAGGCATCCATGTTTGCTACGTTTAGCTAATCAGCTGCAAGATAGGTCTCCAACATTCTGCCTCCTTAATAATCAGAGTCCTACCCCTTCTTTGCATTAGTGATTGTCTGTGTGCTGATATCAGGTTTTCCTTGTTTAAACAGGTCGAGCAGTCTCCACCTAGCAGCAAACTGAAAGCAATGCCGACAGGTATATACTGCAGCCTTCCAAAGGGAGGGAAGCCGGCTGCCGGGGTGGGCTCTAGACTTTGCCCCCGTCTCTTGTTGAAGTGGGTACTTGGGTATAACACCAATGGTATAGTGACACCTGCAACACTTAACTCATACAGTTAAAAGCTATTGTCCTTACAGCCATGAGACTGTACCTGTGGACATTTTGGGAAGCCTTCATAGAGAAAGATAAAGGCAACAAAAAAAAAAATAAAATAATGAAGGCATTACATCCAAGGAAATCCAGCTTGCACTGCAATGCTCAAACCATCATTGCTGGGTACATTTAAGGAGAAATGCATCAGCCTGGAGATTGGATGCTGTTATAAAAGCACAAATTCAGCTCAAGAACCTATTCTCAAAGGAATCTTTTTTTTTTTTTTTTTTTTTTTTTTTTTTTTTTTTGGGGGTTTTTTTTTATGGGGGCCTGTGCCCCCAAC